CGGCAGTTTCTGAAACGGGGAGCCTGCAGCTAGGATTGCAGCTAGCGCAGGATTAGTGGCCAGTTACAAATTCAAACCAGCTCTGAACCCCATTAAGATGGAAGCAATGGTTATTTTCTCATTCTTTTGCTGCTTTTCTTTTTCTGTTCTCATGGTAGCTCTTGTTCTTTTGCAAGGTCTTTCCTCCTGTCTTTTTGGAACAGAGCTGTGTGCTCTGGAGGGCTGCCGAACAGACAGGAGCCTGTGCAGGACCCTTCTCTCACTTCAGGGCACAGCACTGCGCATGGATGCGCAATTCCCAGACTGTTCTAACATTTCAGCCCTGACCCGGAGGGACAGAGAGTGAGAAGGTCAAGGAAGACACAGCATCCTGCATTCTCACTATTAATTAGCCATTCTTAAAGTGTTTCTGTACAATGTACGATATAGTCTAAAACAATAAACTGAAGCTTATGCAAAGAAAGAGAAAAAAAGTGCACAGATTCTCAGTTTGGGTTACTTGCTCTCCTACATACTTCTGCTTACCTTCTCTACCATCCTCCATCATCTTCCCCTGGAGTGCATCATTTCCTCATTTTTTTTTTATCCCAACTATTTTTCAGACATCAGGCACTTAATGATGAAAGACAGCATTTGGATTTGCACCCTGGATCAAAACTGCTGAGCAATGCAGAGTGCTTGCTGTTGAGATCTGCCAGATCCTTGCCCCCTAGACCAGCAGCAGAACAACCGATGCTGCGTTCCTCCACCTCCTGGCACCATTAACCAGGGAATGAATGGGTTGGTGGGGAGGAGGGTCATTGGACATAAGCAACATTTGTGTCAAGGATTTACAACAAGGTCAAAATCAGGTCTCAGGGGCTCAGGCTTTCAAACATAGTTCAGAACCTGCGGGTAACTGAGCATTTTGCCAGCAGTATGCCTGGTTTCTGACATGTCAAGATGGCATCCAGCAGCTCTGGTTTTCAAAACAAAAACAAAGCTTTTAAAAGGGACTGAGACTTTCCCAAGATGCTGACTTGGACACTCAGCAGGTAGAGGTTGTTGCAGGTTGAGGTGTCAAACCGAAGGCAATTATCACTGCTCTCGTAAAGAGACGGAGGAAACGGATGAAGGCTGCTTAGCAGGATGTTGTGCAGCAGTTAAGGAGTGGAAATGGGAAGGAACAAGGCACATTTATTGTGTAATAATAAGTAAAAAGGGGAAAACACATCCCTTTGCTGTAGGCAACTGCAATCAAACTAGTGTATTTTGCCAATTAGTTTGAAGTTTTAATTGTATCCTGCCCCAGAAGTGAACAAACACTTGGCACTTGCCTACGCTACCAAGTCAGCAGTGCATATGTCCAACACATCCAGCTCACAGAAGCATCATGTCTGTATGGGCAGGCAAGAGCAAAAACTGGCCCAGATGATTCCTGCAAACTGATCCAGACCTTTTCATATAGCACCACTGCTGAATCACTTGGGCCTTTTCTACATGCCAGCTTACCTCCTCGAAAACGCTCCTGGTTGGTATTTAACTCATGCTCAGCTAACGGACAACAACAGCCTTCTGATATGGTACCATGTTTGCCTAGGTATAAAAATCTACAGGCATCTGCAGATGGTTGAGAGGATGGTGTAAGTTCACCATCTATTTACTGCAGCCAGGCCTAAAACTTGCTCTATCAGAGAGGAGCTGTTCACATGTAACAGT